TTAGAAAATAGTCTCAGTCACAGGTTTAGTAGAAATGTTATTACAAATCTCTTACTTGAACTGGAGGTGATTTTTTCAGTGTCTTAACACACTGCCTAGAGAGATCTTTCGTGTTCTGTTTGACCTGGAGATGTACATTGGGAACAAAAGTCTTAAGTTAGTTTCTTCACTTTTTACTGATTTGGCTCTTAGTAATTATTCATTCTTTTATTAAACAAGAGAAGACATTAAATTTTTAACAGTAAGGCACAAAACCAATCCATTTACAGAATTAGTCTTATATTAGCACATAGGAGAACAAATCAGCCTCCCTGGGGATGGATCTATTTGCAATTTCTCTTAGCATTTTTGGAGTAAGTCCAGTAAGCTTTGGGAAAATGTAGAATTCACTGACTTTAAATTAACAAAGTAACATGACCCGTTTGTGTTTTTTTTTCCTCCTTGATTGGGAAAGAGGGAATGGATTGATTTTTATATCTGCCTATGATTTAAGGTTGTGGTTTTCAACTTTTAGTGTGGATGAGGATCCCCTGAGAAAGAGGCACTTGAGGCCCACCCCTGGAAATTCAGGGCAGTAAGTATGGGTGGGACCCTGGGCTGGCTTGCTTGCTTTTTTTTTTTTAATACTCCACAGGTGATTTTAATGTATAATACAGGACAAGAGTCACCAGTAGTGGAGAATCAATATCTGAGCCATTGTCAAACAATTCAAAGCCAGGTTGCATGTTATCAAAAAGATGCTTTCTCTTAAATTTGAAGGAATGTAAATACTTTGAATTTATCAGTCTTCTGTAGCATAAATTTGGCCAGTCTCACATTGCTGGGTGCTATTAAATTAATGCAAAATTATTCTCTCTCTCTCTAAACATTGTTGTCACATTGATTTTTCTACATTGGACCAAGTTTCCCTGTATTAATATTGCCATCGTCTTTGGTTTCTTTTCTTCCTTCTGGAAATATCTTTGTTTTTGAAACGCCAAGTTGTCTGTTTTTATGGTTTTATATTTATTTATTTATTTATTTTTGGCAGCTGGACAGTACCGGGATCAAACCTGGGACCTTGGTGTTATCAGCACCATATTCTAACCAACTGAGCTAACTGGCCAGCCCCATTTTTATGTTTTTAAGTCAGTATAGATATAGAGTTGGGTTAATGTGGCCCATTACTTTTTGGATGGCTGTGTGCTTCGTAGTAGTCTAGGTGGAAGTCCGCTAGCATTTTTTAGACGACAAGGTATTTCACTGTACACTAGAAGCAAGTAGTATTTTTTTTTACCTACATTTATGAATTGTGGGAAGTACCAGATCAGAGTGCTTAAGACATTCTGTTGCTGTTAGGATTTACTAATGATTACTGGTCTACAGCTTTTATCCAGAGTGTTGCTTCATATCCTTGTCAATCATGCATACCTATGAAAGAATTGTGTTTTCAAACACAGGGTCAGACATGCTTGTAACTCTCAATCTTTTGTAAGGTGTTCCCAAATGCTATCTTATTAATTACAACAAACTGAAGTTTATGAATCATTTACTCAACTTTGAAGTTACTCTAGTTGGTTGCTTGGTTGGTATAATAATAATGTCACTCTCAATTATCTGCATTGCATATGCCTCCTTGAATAGAGGAGAGGGAAGGAGATTACCTAGACTAATGTTGCTGGAGTTGTGCATAAGAACCCTTGGGAATGTATTGAACACAGGACTGTCATGGGTCACATCTGTTGCTTTGGAAAAAAAGATAGGACTTTACACAAAACAGACTCTGAGATGGAGATTTGAGGTAGGTGGATTAGTAGGTCAGCCTTTCAGAAAGGTCCTGAATTGAGGTAAGGGGGCCAGGCTTTTCCTGCCAGGCATTGCCTAATCAATGGATGCAGACTGCTCTCCGGGAGAGCATGTAACTTGGGTGAGGTGGTTCATTTGGCCAAGGGTGGTGCCTAGGAAGGGACTCAGCTGTGAGCCAGCAACAGGCAGATTCTCATCAGGGGATATGAGCGTCTTGGGCCCAAAGGGACAACCTGTGTGACCCACCACAGCATCCACTACCAGAGCCACTGATAGACTGTCTTGCCAAAATTATTCCAAGCATGCAGAATGAAACCACCATTTGTTCTCCTGACCTTGTGTGTCTGCATATTTCTTAAGATGTGGGCCTTCATTTAATGCATTGTTTTTTGTTTTTTCTCTGCCATTTCCCAACCAGCGGTAGCAACAGGGAAGGTCATCTACAGGAAAGTCTGGTGCTTGATCTGTTTTGGATTGTCCAGCCTGGGGGTCTCTGGTTTTTGCTGCAGTGGCCATAACACCACTGATTCGTCATTTGCAGCCTGCTGGGTTACATTCTTTGTATCTGCTGTGCACCAGAGCAAAGCTTTCTTGAGTTATTACTGTGACATAACCTTTAAAATTGATGATTTTTTAAAAGTCCTCTTGGAAAAGTTCTGTTGTGTGGATATTTCCAGTGTTCAGATATCTGAGTAATTTAGCCTCTGCTCTACTGTCCCCTTTCTGCTACTGTTATAGGCTGTCATCTGCTCCTAGTATGACAAGGGGAGACAACTTTTTCCTGTGTAAACAACAAGCTGGTTTAGGAGTACCATGGAATGTGGACCAAATCAACAAATATTTGTTTGAAAAAAAAAAGGGGGGGGGGGGAGCTGGAGTTGCTCCAAGAAAAGAAAATAGCAATATTATCAATCATTCATTGCATGCTTAGCCCTGGTACTTGTGCAAAGCTCTTTTCATGTATTATTTCATTTTATTCTTATAACATACCTATTTCATAGGATAGTTTTATCTGTTTTACAAATGAGGAAGCTCAGACGCACTTAGCCTGGTCACTTGGCTAGTAAGGTGGCAAAACTGGGCTTATCAGTTTGAATCTTTGCTCTGAGCCTCAATGCTATGCTGCATCCTGGAGGCTATGGTGGTTGGAGTCAAGGAGGATGGGGGCAGGGTTGGGATTATACTAAGATAGAGGCCCTGTCTTCCAGGATGAGAATGCTAACTGAATAGGCAAAAGACGGAAGGCTATTGCCACCAGATGTGTGGCTTTTCTGCACCAGAATAAGTAAAAAAAAAAGAAAGAAAGAAAAGAAAAGAAAATGATGTCTGATGCCTCATCAGGGAGAGGAGTGTCAAGTCCAGAAACTAGTTCGAGAATGGGACCGAATTGCATCCTGAGTGGACTGATTAAAGAAAGGAATGCCTGATAAGTCTCTAACAGTGGAAAGCTAAATGAGCCTTCAGTTTGAATGAGTGCAGGCTTTTCTTTGCTTTTGTTCTGGTTGTATGCAGATAAGGAACATTATTTTCTTGTTTCTTTACCAAATGGGTAAAGTAGGCTTCTCCACTACACCATAGTCAAAATAATCTAAAAGAGAAAGTAGGAGGAATTCCATCCAGGTTGCAGATGATAGTCTCGGCTTGTGTGTAGCTTTCCTGGACTGGCAGTAACTCCCTCCAGTGTTGTGTTTGAGACTCAAGTGGTATCTGGGCCAAGAGAGGAAGTGATGCATCATTTTCTTGATGAGGGAAGCTGATCAGTAGTGGGAGGGGACCTAGCCTGACACTGAACCAATGCCTTTATTTTTTTAGGCAAGGACCCCTCTGCCTTCTAATTACATTTGCAGATTTTTTCCTTTTTTTTTTTTTTTTTTTTTTGTATGGCCAACATTTCTCTCCTGATTTAACATTCTGTCCCCTGTTTGCCCACAGAGAACTGTCAACTCTTACTCTTCTTTCCTCTAGAGATCCTTCTTGGCCCTTGTACTTAGCTTTGCACTGTTTTTTGCAGTTGAATACCACATTTCCTTCTTATGCTCCGGATTATGTTTTAGTCTCAGACTCCTAAATGAGCAGAAACATGATTCCAGAAAAATTTTGACCCTGAATCTCGGTTGGGTCTAAATCAGTGCTCATATTCTCTTAAAAATGCTGAGACTATTTTCTATTTTGAGTCTGCAGTCTTGCAGTACATATACTGCTGTATTTGAGTGATTTGCTTGCAACCAATAAGTCAGTGATGTCAGCCAAAGCTTATTAAAAATGAATTTTATTAAGCAAGGTCTATTGGGATAGAGTGTAGCTTTCCCTAGCTTTGCAGAGGTACATACCAAAACAGGCTTTGGCACGTGGATTTGGGAACAGGCAGAGGGGTACCTGTGCACACTTGGCTTTTTTCTGTCTCACTCTCATATTTCTTTGTGCTACCAGGATTGTCATGACAGCTTTATCTCTCAAATAAAGCCTGTTACCTCATCTCTAATTGCTTATCCAAAGGCAGGCGAGCTCTAATTTCTCTGCATTAATAAATGACACCGAAGAAGAACTGCTTTGTTTGCACTGGCTCACTAGGTTAACCAGCGTAAGCCCCTGAGAGCATTAGGAAACCTTGCACTTCTCCGGCAGCCAAGGAGAGGTGGTGTTCGCCTCAATCAAGAGCAGCGTTCCATTTATTTACTTTTTGCTCATGTTCACGGCCCAATTCTCTTCCCGATGAAAGCACTTGAGTGACCTAGGTCGGCATTCCTCCAGCTGTGGGTGCTCACTCCCCTCCAAGTTGGGTGGTAGCAGTTGTCCTGGGAGGAGGGGTGGCCTCCTGATTTCAAGGCTCACCTTCTTGGTTGCCTGCTGTTTACTTTTCCTCAGAAGCTGAGAGGCTTTCTGCAGACCTTTGCACTGATTCCTGTGGCATACCCCAGGATGTAAGATGGCACCCTGGCTTCTCCTTTTTAAAGCATTATAGGAAATGGTCATGTGGACTTCATAAGTAAATGTGAGGAGGTAGATTCTTGGGGGTCAGAGAATTGAGAGTGGCTGGCAAGTTCTGAATAGTTCTATGACTGTCTTGTGAAATAGAATGCTTGCCTCTTGGGAAACAGCCTCATCTCTCTTGTAATTACCTAAGAATATATCTAGTAATTTAAAGGACCTGTAAATATGAGTTATTTTCATATATTGGAATTGTGAGCTTATTTCCTTTCTTTTTTCCTCCTCAGAATGAGATGGATGATGTGCCCTTCTTTGATATCCAACTGCCTTATGAATTGGCAATCAATATATTTCAGTATCTGAACAGGAAAGAACTGGGAAGGTGTGCACAGGTAAGCTGTCATTAACAGATGTTCAGGATTCTCCTAAATGTATGATTAAAGTATAGGAAACTCCTGGGTAACAAAAATTTACAGAATTGCAAACTTTACAGAATTAATGGATTGGATAGCCAGTTTAGTTGAAGGAAAGCAACCTTGACCTTAAAGGATTGTGTTCCACATCACCACTTGGTGTTTATCTCTTTGTGACCATCTACTTGAGCTCTCTACTCCCTGCCGTCTGAGTTACGGCTGACCTTGGCAGTGTGCTCAAGGCTGTCGGCTCTGTGCCTTTATTGAGCTAGCCTGTGCTGTTAATGTAACACAGTTTTTAATGCAAATAAATGAGCCCTTCGTTAAATCATGCCAGTTGTTAGGTTGGTAGCTGAGTGTCAGCCCTTGGACAGAACAATGAAGTCATGTTTCAGGTGTGTAGTCCAAATTAGCCTTTAAGTACCAGAACCCCACTCAGTGAGGTGCAAGGCATGTGAGAACTGAGACCCACTGAGGGAATTGCAGATCAGTGTCACCCATCTCATGCTTACTCTGGGACATGTGCCCATGGAGTGGAATGGTGGAAGATATCGTTTAGGCCAAATTTCATTGTGTATACAAATCATGGGGGAAACTTGATAACATGCAACTTTGGATTCAGGAGCTCTGGGATGGAGCCTGATATTCTACATTTCTAACCAAGTGACACCACTGTTGCTTTGGCCATGTTTTGAGAGTCAAGGGTTTATGCCTTTGAAACTGTTCACTTATTCTTGTCTTTTTGGTTGAGACTGTATACGTGATTTTTCTTTTTTTTAAATTTTTAAGTTTTTTTAGATTGACAAATAAAAATTATATATGTTTATCATGTATAACATGATACTTTGAAATATGTATACATCATGGAATGGCTCAATCAAGCTAATTAACACATGTATTACCTCACATACTTTTTATGGCAAGATATCTACTCTCAGTGATTTTCAAGTATAGAATACATTATTAACTATAGCCAACGTGTTGTCCAATAGATCTCTTGAACTTATTCCTTCTATCTAACCGAAATTTTGTATCCTTTGGCCAACATCTCCCCAGTCCCCTGCTTCTAGTAACTACTGTTCTATTGTTTACTTCTGTGAGTTCAAGTAAGGTCACGTATGATATTTGTCTTTCTGTGCCGGGCTTATTTCACTTAACATAATGTCCTCTAGGTTCATCCATGCTGTTACAAATGACAGGATTTCCTTCTTTTTTTAAAGAATGAATAGTATTCCATTGTGTATATACACCACATTTTCTTTGTCCATTTATATGTTGATTCTGTATCTCAGTTATTGTGAATAGTGTTGCAGTGAACATGGGAGTACAGATATCTCTTTGACATACTGATTTTCTTTCCTTTGGCTATATACCCAGTAGTGGGATTGCTCGATCATATGATAGTTCTATTTTTGATTTTTTTGAGGAATCTTCATGCTGTTTTCAATAATGCCTGTACTGTACTAATACATATTACCACCAACAGTGCGCCTGTGTTCCCTTTTCTCCATGATCCTTTCCAGCACTTATCTTTCATCTTTTTGTTAATAGTCATTCTAACAGGTGTGAGGTGATATCTCATCGTAATGGGTTTTAATTTGCATTTCTCTGATTAGTGATGTTGAACATTTTTTCATATACCTGTTGGCCATTTGTATGTCTTCTTTTAAGAAATGTCTGTTCAGGTCCTTTGCTCATTTTTTAGTCAGGTTATTCTCTTGGTATGGAGTTAAGTTCCTTATATATTTTGGATATTACTCATTTTCATATGTATGGCTTGCAAATGTTTTCTTCCATTGTGTAGATTATTTCTTCACTCTGTGGATTATTTCCTTTGCTGTGCAGAAGCTTTTTAGTTTGACGTAATCCTATATGTCTGTTTTTGCTTTTGTTGCCTGTTTTTTGGGGGTCATGTCCAAAAAGTCATTGCCCAGACCAGTGGCATAGAGTTTTCTCCCCATGTTTTCTTCTAGTAGTTTTACAGTTTCAAGTCTTACATTTAAGACTTTAATCCATTTTGAGTTGATTTTTGTATATGGTGTGAGCTGAGGGTCTAATTTCATTCTTTTGCATGTGAATATCCAGTTTTCCCAATACTGTTTATTGAAGAGACTGTCCTCTTCCCATTGTGTGTTCTTGGCACCTTTGTCGAAAATCAATTGACCATAAATGTGTGGATTTACTTCTGGGCTCTCTATTCCATTAGTCCATGTGTCTTTTTTTTTTTTTTTTTCCTTTTTGTCTTTTTCCGTGTCCGGCAACGGATCGCAACCCGCAGTGTCGCCCCCGTACCGGACCAGGACCGGCAACGGAATCGCAACCCTCGGTGTCGCCCCCGCGCCTCGCTCAGCCAGTGAGCGGGAACCGGTCTGTATGTGGGATCTGAACCCTCGGCGGGAGCGCCACCACGCTTCACAAGCGGCGCACTATAGCAGTGCGCCACCGGGCCGGCCCCATGTGTCTTTTTTAATGCCAGTACCATGCTGTTTTGATTAGTATTGCTTTGTAGTATATTTTGAAGTCAGGTGGTGTGATGCCTCCAACATTGTTCTTTTTGCTCAAGATTGCTTTTGCTATTTGGGATATTTTGTGGTTCCATTTGAATTTTATACTTTTTTTCTCTATTTCTGTGAAAAATGTCTTTGGAATTTTGATAGGGAGTGCCTTGAATCTGTAGGTCATTTTGGGTGGTATGGGTACTGTAACAATATTAATTCTTCTAATCCATGAACACAGGATATCTCTCCATTTATTTATGTCTTCAATTTCTTTCATCAATATTTTATAGTTTTCAGTGTATTGGTCTTTCACCTCCTTGGTTGAATTTATTCCTAAGTATTTTATTTTTTGTAGCTGTTGTGAATAGGTTTGTTTTCTTGATTTTTCTTTGGATAGTTCATGGTTAGTGTATAGAAACGTTACTGACTTTTCTATGTTGATTTTTTATCCTGCAGCTTTACTGAATTCATTTATTATTTCTAACAGTTTTTTGGATATAGTCTTTAGGGTTTTCTATATATAAGATCATGTCATCTGCAAACAGAGATGACATGATCTTATTTTCCTTTCTAATTTGTATGCCTTTTATTTCTTTTCCTTGCCTAATTGCTCTGGCTAAGACTTCCAGTACTATATTGAATAAAAGTGGCAGGAGTGGGCATCTTGTCTTCTTTCTGCTTTTAGATGAAAAACTTTCAACTTTTCACCATTGAGTATGATGTTAGCTGTAGGTTTGTCACATGTGGTCTTTACTGTGTTGAGGTACATTCCTTCTCTATCTAATTTGTTAAGAGTTTTTATCATGAAAGGATGTTGAATTTTGTCAAATGCTTTTTCTGCATCTATTGAGATGATCATATGGTTTTTGTCTTTCATTCTGTTAATGCTTATTTATAGATTTACATTGATTTTTTTAAAATAAGTTAAATGTGTGTATGATTGCTGACCATTTGGCTCTTCATGGACAACTGTGTTCCCTAGAAGATACTGGAATATCTATTCTCCATAACTGCCAAAAATTTTGTTTAGAGGATAACATTTTCATCTCTGAATTCTATAATGCATTTTATAAAGTTGTCTACACCTTCAGTAGAAAGGGTTCAGTAAAATTGAGTGGTAGAAGAACTATGCATTAAAATCCAAAGCACCAGGGCTGGCCTGTGGCTCACTTGGGAGAGCGTGGTACTGACAACACCAAGTCAAGGGTTAAGATCCCCTTACTGGTCATCTTTAAAAAAAAAAAAAAAAAAAAATCCAAAGCACCACCAGGAATTTGAAGTTCAAAATACTAGGGCAATTTGAGAGTGGTGAAAACTGTAGTCAAATTTAGACTCTAGAGTTTGCTAGCTCTCTGGCAGTTCAGTGAAATCACACATGATACAGGACAATTTATAGAGTTTTTGGTGTTACACTATGTTTTCTTCTTTTTTTTTTTTTTTTTTTTTTTTGGTGGCTGGCTGGCTGGTATAGGGAATTGAACCCTGGACCTTGATGTTATCAGCCCCACAGTCTAACCAACTGAGCTAACTGGCCAGCCCTGCACTATTTCTTTATGAAGCATTTTGCTTAATCAAAATTATTTTTCTACTTAAATATGAATTTGAAAAGGTTTTCGGTATTCTTGATTGTCACTATATTACTTAAGTGGGGTTGTTGGCAAATATTTTTTTGATGCAGAGTGTGTGTCTTTAGGAAATGATGGGAATTACTTAAAGGCTAAAATTCACTAAAAACATTTGCTGAAGTGTAAACTGTGCCCAGAGCCTATCCATTGCATTAAGAGTACCTATATTGTCTTTCCCCTTGGAAATTTGGTTTGTTATATTTTAACTTTACACATTGGCCCTGCTCCCATGAGTTGAAAACAAGAGTGTAGCTAAATGAGTCCAGCTTCTGGATATGAGCCTGATGCTGTTAGCTGAAGTCTTGGAACAGGGTCTAAAGGCTAGCTGCTTTACACGAAGTCAGCATTAGATGATAAAATCTTCATTCTTGATAGTGAGCTGCTGTTTAAGGAATCACCCTTTTAACATTGCTTTTTGCTCTCCTTCTTTGTAGAGAGCCATGTGGCTTTCACATCTGTTGTTGGTTGTCTCATCCAAAGAGTTTATCAGTGAAAGAATCTAGTGGAAGAAAAGATCCCCCTTTTGGTACAATGGGGCTGCCTTTCAGGGTAGATTGGTTATGCTGGTGAGATTATTCTGCAGGTGTGAACAGTTTAATTTGCAACACAGTAGTTCAGTTGTCCACCAGAATTCTTTCTTCATCAGCCAGTTGGGTTTGTTTTTTTCATTGTTGTTAACCTAGTTTTTAGAGCACATGTATAAGAACAGAAAATATTCTTAAACAGAACTGCTTTAATGTACGACTAAGAGGGCTGTGATCTATGAAGCCATGATTTTTATAGAGCTTTTACATGAAGATGACAGTGGATGACCAGTAGTGTGTAGAATTGGCTTTGTTTCTTCAATCGTTAAAAC